AATGCTCCCTTTTAACTTTGATGTCTGCTTTCCTTCCGCCGTGCGTTAAATCCACAGCCTAGCGGATTCCCATCGGAAACTAGCACCTACCTAACTCTTTGGTGTGTGGGTCTCTCTTTTCCTGATGGATTTTACAAAAAGAGAGATCTGTCCCATATTTGTAATTCTTAATTCCTACTGTTGCTGTGCTCACAAGGATTGCACCAAAGAGGTAAGTGAGAATTTCAGCTCTGTGGAGTAAATCTGTGTAGCCACAGAAAAGGATTTTGGGGCTGAGTCAGAATTCTTGACCAATCCATTGAACTTGAGTCTTCAGCTTTTAAACTTGACTGTACTTTTTTTCCCCTGTAATTTTTAAAATTAAGGTTAAAATACTGAATAGCAAGGCTAGAACGCTTATTGCTTCTGCTGTTTTCCTCCTGTGGTGGTGTTCCAAATCTAACTATTTTTTTAAATTTAGAATTGCTGGAGGTATGTAACACTTCCTCTGTCTTCATTTTGGTTTGGTGTAAAAGTTACACAGCACTGGTTATACCTTCTCTTACGAAGTAAATTATATTTTCTGTATCTCTTGTGTTAGAACGAGATGCTAAACCACTGACCCACTAATCTGGTAACTAATGCAAAATACTGTGTGTTTCTAGGTAAAAATTGTGAAGAGGAGTTCTGGGTAGCTTATACTTTGATGTTTAAAGTATCTTGAAAATCTAGTGTTTGTAAGAGTACCAAGTAATTGCTTTTTATTGATCAAAGAACCATATAAACGTGGATGGTGAGTTTTGGAACGCATGGCTTTTTTTCCACCAGATCAAAATCTGATAAAATCACAAACTTTACCACATCCAAAATAAGTGAAATATGAAATTTCTTCTTATGCTTAATGTGAAGACTGTAGGAGAAGTACTTAGCTTTGCATCAGTTGTACTTTGTCCTGCCTAGATATATGCTCACATTTTAAAGGTGCTCTCAAAACATTAAGTGTTCAGTGGGGTTTATTTTATGTTGATATTTCTTTCAAAAGAAGCAGTTCTGCCCTTGTTGCTCTATCCCTTTCCTTCTGTAAGCCTGAGAGCTAGCGTGGGGAACCAGAATGGGGAGCTTCCCAGAATCATTAAGGTTGGAAAAGATCTTTTAAGTTTCATCTCACTGGAAACAGCTGCAGGCTTTTTTTTTTTGGCTGGCTTTGTTTCAAGGCTGATAAAGGCTGCGATCTGGTTCATTATGCAGCTGTATAAATGCACGTGCCAGCAAAAGGGAGGAAGCGACACGGGTGTGGGAATGGGAGATGGAGAGCAGGAGACTGCTACTTTGAGCAGCGCTTGCCATTCATGCTTTTTTAAATGGTGGCTTGAGAAGAATATTTTAATGGGGGAGCTCTTCCTTCTATTTAGCAATTTTTTTTGAGAAAAATACCAGTGGGATTTTGAGTGTTTAGTTCTCAGTGAACTGCCACTGGGGAATAGGACTAGTAGATTAAAAGAGTTGAGTTGTCCTGTGATTAGGAGCAGAGGAAATGGCAGGAAGATGTGGCAGGGGAGGGTGAGGTTGGCCATGAGGAAAAGGTTCTTGAGGCAGAGGGTGGTGGAGCACTGGCACAGGCTCCCCAGGGAGGTGCTCATGGCACCAAGCCTGACAAGATTCCAGCAGCATTTGGCCACCATGTGCCCTCAGGGACATGGTGTGAATGTTGGGCTTGTCCTGTGCAGGGACAGGAGTTGGATTTGATGGTCCTTCTGGGTCCCTTCCAGCTCACAACATTATAGGATTCTATGGACCAGGAGAGGCATAAGGATGTGACCATCATGCAGTAACTGTAATGAAAACCAGGAAATACAGAGTGGCTCAGTTTGTACTTGAGTGCCTGTGGGTTCAGGAACTAATGAACGTACGCTTGGCCGCGCAGCTCGTGCTCTTGTAAGGACACGTCAAGGTTAATGTGAACTGCAGAGCTTGGCCTTCCTTTGGTTTCTCTGTGATGGCAGCTCTGGGTACAAAAGAGTTCACGGATTTATGGATTTTTACCATTCATAGTATCCTCTGTCTTGTGATGTAAGATAGTTTGACGCTTCCTCTGGTGCTTGTAGGAGGAAAATGATTTTTTTTTTTAAAGCTGATGTTATTTAAGTGGCCTGAACTTGAGCACAAGGGGTGCTTGGCCAGCACTGTAGACTAGGTTTAGACAACTCTTCTCATGAACCAGGAACAAACTCAGAAATGAGTAGCTGCTTAAACACAGAATTTTCTGTTGGTTTTAAGGCCTTAGTGTGAAGTTCTCTCTGCTTTTCTGAGCAGTTAGGAACATAGGGGCTATGCTGGAGGGAGCTTTTTTGTTTTTAACTGAACACTTGGTTTGGAATTCACAAAATGAGGAATTGTAAAATGGCCCTCATGGAAGAGCCTGAAGATTTTGGACGTGTATTTAATCTCGTTCAGGATAGAGAAACACAGGGTTGCAGACTGAATCACTGATATTTCAAATCTCTTCTTAGTAAGCTTTACATTTTCAGGCTTTTGTGCAAGAACAGAGCAGGTGGTCAAGTAGTTAACAAGAAAACTCATGTTCTGTCTTTGTTATATTAATATTTTGCTGTAGCAGTTGTCTTACTCAGCTTTTAGTTTTTCTGCAATGAGATGGTCACAGATCTGACACCTTCCTTCTGCCACCAGAGTGTAAATGAACATAGACACAGGCTGCTGCTGTCTGGGGCTTGAGCTATTTAGGAGACATAGATGTGTTAAACTTTGGCAAATTTAGATCCAAATACATACAATAAGCAGTTGAATAATTACTTCATAGGCTATATGTGTATGTGTATTTAGGAGAGCATTTAATTCAGTGTAGAAATGTCTGTCTCTACATATATGAATCTGAACACCTGGGATCATTTCAAGCTTGGTCCCATTTAGAGGTGGGTGTCTCTGACTAGTTTGCTGGTTGAGCAGACACATGCCAGCAGATACTTGATGCCAGTAGTGAACACAAAAACTAGTTTTATAAATCCTATAGAGTACAGGGCTCTGCAACGTTCTGCTAAGAAGCTGGAGATTTCTGATATGACCTGGTTACAGTATTTAAGTTCCCCGTCCAAACTTCAGTCTGGTGTCTAATGAGCTGAGGCATTGATCTCCAAAAGTCTTAATGTTCAGTGAAGCTTTTAAAAGCATTAATCTAATGTTTACTGACAGATTGTATTTCAGAACTTACTCTAGTCACAATAGACTCTTCAGTTCTGTGAATTTCAATTTCTGGAACTTCACAAGAGCAAATTTTGGAGCAGAGAGGTAGATAAGATAACTAGAATGCTATTGTAAAAGGAAGTTTTTATCCAGTCAAAAACTGTCTTTCTAGAGTGGGTTGTTTTTTTTGGGTTTTTTTGTCCTTTTAAAAATTCCAGACACACCAGCTTTGTGAAATGTAGTGACAAATAGCAGTGTTGTCCACTGAAAGACTGGATGCTTGTGCTTCTCCCGGGCTTGTGTTTGCATCTGTTAAAGTTGATGTTGAGTGTTGCCCTCTCCTGGAAGAGTGTGGTAAAGAATATTCTAAATAGTGAATGTGTGAAGTCAATATACTGCCATTTCTGGCCAAGGGGGAAAAGGTGTCTTAACGTAGATAGAAATGAATATTTTATTAAGTCTCCATGTTCAGTTAAATGGAGGTTTGTAGTTGCAAAGGCTCCAGTTCAGAGACTCAAACCTTTCCGTTTCAAGACTTGTTTCCTACTGACAATAGAAGGGGGAAGAGTAATGTCTTGCTGTCCCCATTTGGTGAAAGCAGTATCATATAGGGTACTGGGGTTTCAAGACTTGTTTCCTACTGACAATAGAAGAAGGGGGAAGAGTCATGTCTTGCTGTCCCCATTTGGTGGAAGCAGTATCATATAGGGTCCTGGGAGAAGTACTTTCTGGTTAGGACACAGATCATCATGCTGGTACTAATACTTCATTTATTTCCATAATTCATACTCCAAGGTTTTCACTGTTTGTTCAGTTGTGATTTACCAGTGCTGCACGGTCAGATGTATCAGGAGTATGATTTCAGGATTGATCAGCTTGAAAACGTGGGCTCTTCATAGAACAGAGTTTGAATGGGGTGTCTTCATCCTCTCTCATTCTGTTATTTTAAATACTGAGTTTGAAGCTAAAGGCTGAATCAAGTAAAATTGAGTGCCAGATTTTGCTGTGGTGGACAGTTGCTCCTGAAATAGAACTTCTGGCCATGATTAAATGATGAAGCTTCTGTAACGTTTTGCAGAATTCAGAGACGATCATATCTCGTGGCCTGTTGCCTTTACTGATTTGAGTAGCTGATGGTACTTCAGTTTTGGTTTTGCTCTCTCCCAATAGCTTTGGCATGTTTTGGAGACAGGATTGCCATTGTTGTTGAGGGGCTTTTGCAAAGGTTTTTGTTGCAAAGCTTGTTTTTGTGAACTTACAACAGCAGTGATGCACAAGTGTGATTTGAATATAGTAGGTCTTCTGGGGAGAGCTAAGATACAGGAAAGTCTGTTTTTTTCTAACGTTGGACAGGTTATTTAATGATCCAGTCAGATCATTCTGGGGTAAGCTTTTTCCTGTAAAATCAATTTATGCCAAAATTACTTCATATAATGGCGTGTTGGAAACATCTGAGAAGCAGCAGAATCCTTTGCGGACTGTTAAATTTATCATGTGGGTTCATGCATTAGTGCTACACAGGAAACATTGCTTTTTATTCTCAATCCAGTTTGTGTACTTGCCTCTAACCAGTGTATTTTCTGTGGAAACTAAACAGTGGTTCTGTCATAACTGAGAACCTAACTGACAAAGCCTTCTGTTACAGAAGTGTAGCTGAGAAATAAGCTGGAGGGGGGGAAACACGTTTGCAAAAGTCAGAGAGATGAACGGGAAGATTTCTGTATCATTGGTTAACTATTGTGTAAAAACTAGTTAGCCTGTAAACAAAATAGAAACTTAAATCAAGTGAACCTTCCAGTTTCTCTGTTCCTTGTATGTTCCAGGGTGTCAAGCCAGCCAGCTTTGATAAAGTAGCAATCCCTGAGGTGAAGGAGATTATCGAGGGATGCATTCGGCAAAACAAAGGCGAAAGGTGAGTCCTTTCTCTTCAGAGAGAGGTATTACTTGCTGTCTGACTCCTTCATCTCTGATGATACTAGATCCAGTTAGTTCCTGGGGTCTTCTGTGTTCTGATGAAAGCTGGGAAGCCAGTGTTATTACTTCTGCAGCTTCTATTCTTTGGTATATTCCTTTTCAGTGATTATTTTAGCAGATTAACAGTGCAAATGCTGTAGTAACCATCCATTTCAGCTTATTCAGAAATTCTTATGCTTTTATTAAAACTTTGACCTCGTCAGCAAAATAGTGGGTGACAGTCCTTCTGAGTTCTCAGGTATTTGGGTTGTTCGGTTTGTTATTCTATAATCTCTTATTTTTCCTGTCCCTTTGATTTTGTTGGCATTTTATGGCTAATTATTTTCAGGGCTTTTTTAATTTATTTTCAATTTCTTGCTGCTCATTTTCATCCACGCTTTCTGCGAGATGATTTCTACTTGTGATTAACTTACACCATTACAGGAAATCTGTAGCTGCTCTGGTGGCTTATGTTGTGGGGTTTTTGTTTTCTGCTTTTACGTAGCTGTTGCTTACTGAATGTGTGATTTAAGAATGCTTCAGCCCTACTCTAGCCTCCTGCTGTTCTGTTCAGAGCTAGTTTTGTGAGCTCATGGGTGTTTACTCATCCCCCTCTATTAACTCCTGAAGTTCTACATCTGACGGCGTTGCTGTGTATTTTTAATTTCTATTCCTTTTGTTAGTTTTAAACAATTTTGCATTTTTTTTTTCCCATTTAAAATTAATTTTGTGGTTGCATATTGCTTATTTCTTGCTATTTAGTTGAAGTGGTTAACTTGGAGTGCTGCTGTTAACGCTGTGCATATATGGCCATAGATCTTTCTTTGTACCCTCAGGACAAATCTTCTAATTGTGCCAAAGAGAATGCAAGTTCAAAATAGTATAAAATGTGAAAGGAATCATGTGGTGCTTATCTAGTGCTGCAGTTACTAGATGAAGCTTTTGATAAGATCTTGAAATGGACTGAAATATGTATCTGGATTACGGTACTAAAATGGGGACTAAGGGTTGTGTGTTGGATCTGAATGTTCACTAAAAGCAAATTGTTTCTTCATGGTTTCTTATTTTAGTTAATATAAATCCTGTTCAGTTGGCTTAAATCTGTTGGTACTTCTGCTGACCAATGTGTGATTTTCTTTTTTTGTGTGTGTGTACAAATGTAGCACTGCTGCATTTTTTCTCCATTGTGCTTTTAAGGAGAAATTTGAATGACGGGCTGTCAGACAATTCATGAGAATCATGAAATGTAGAGAATAAATTTGGGAGATAGTCAGGCAAGGATATTCTTGAATATTTTATGAAAACCTAATAACTGTGTGTGCTTTCTACATTCTTTCCCAATAGATATGCTATTAAGGACCTTTTGAATCATGCTTTCTTCCAAGAAGAGACTGGAGTACGGGTAGAACTAGCAGAGGAAGATGATGGAGAAAAAATTGCCATTAAACTCTGGCTCCGAATTGAAGACATCAAAAAACTCAAGGGCAAATACAAAGATAATGAGGCAATAGAGTTTTCATTTGACTTGGAGAGAGATGTCCCAGAGGATGTAGCACAGGAAATGGTAAGTGTTGGTGGTCTTACAAAGCATTGGAAGTACTGGTGTTCTCTGACAGTGAAACGTACTCTTGTCAGCCTCTGCATTTGCAGAAATAAAACAGCTTCAGAAGTTTGTGAATGAGAAGTTAATGTCGGAGAGGGGTCACTTATGTTGTAGCACTACAACAGTGGCTGTCTATGACAGTCTGAATTGTGTGAATGTATCCTCCCTCAGGTGGAATCTGGCTATGTCTGTGAAGGGGATCACAAGACGATGGCGAAAGCTATCAAGGACAGGGTATCTCTGATTAAGCGAAAGCGAGAGCAGCGTCAGTTGGTGCGAGAAGAACAGGAGAAGAAGCTTCAGGAAGAAGGTAGTCAGAAGCAGCAGCTGGAGCAACAGCAACCATCAAGTGCTTCCCATGCAGGGTCAAAGCATCCCCTGTCTGTCACTGGTACTATTCCTGTCCCCACTACTTCAGCATCGGTTTCTACACAAGTGGAGCCTGAAGAACCAGAAGCTGATCAACACCAACAATTGCAATTCCAGCAACCCAGTATCTCTGTTCTTTGTAAGTGTGTGACTTGGTTTATTTAGGAACTCTTGCATTTACACAGTTTCCCCCCCTTAAAGTCTTAAATTTTGGTGGGCATAGCAGTAAATTTCTTAAGCTGTTGCTGTCTACCATTGCTATCTGCTGACAAACATTAGCCCACTAGGAAGTACAGCAAAATAAAATGCGTTCCTGTGCCTTAGCTGAGCCAAGTCTTGGCACAATTCACAGTCCAGTGTCTTTGCACAAGATCATTTTCCTTTGTTTCAAGCTTATACACTAAATGAACTCTGGCACCTGAAATATGAATTTATGCCTTAGTTTTTGCTGCCCTCCTATAGGGACAGTGTATTGTGGCCCTGCAGAACACTGAATACTCTTGCACCAGTGCAGTTAGAGCTGTTAGAAACACTTGAAACCTTGTTAACTTAGGTTTAAGGTGAGAATGAGGTTAATGTACAAGCAGTTTGGCTCATAATTTGCTTTCTGAAGAAAAGGTTTCATTTTCTGTTCTACATATTATACATGAAAAGATGAATTAACACTCCTAACTTTTCCTCTTCTGCCATCCAAACGTTTGAATTGGTGTTTGAATAATGATGGTAGAGGAGAACTTCTGTATTAGAATGGTGATGTTAGAAAGCAAATCACTACCTTTAGCTCTTTAGGTAATAGGGATTTTAAGTTTTCTACTATGCCTACATCAGGTGCATCTGCTAGCCAGCACAACACACCTGTTTTATATGTAAAATTAAAGAAATAAAATTAATAATTGAAAAACCCTGAAAGATGATTCATAACAATGTGGAATTTAAGTTTCTGGTTCTAGTCCAGGCTTTTATGGGAAGCATAGTTTACTATTAAGTATATTCTCAAAGAACTCTTGAAATGACTGATTTTTTTTTCCCACAGGTTAGGGGAAGGCATATTGGTAAGAAAGTACTGTATTGAGGAAGAAAAAAGATATTTTTTTTTTTAACCAGCTTAAATATTACAAGAGAGAAAGTGCTGATAATGTCCATGTGATGTGGCACAAACATCAATCTAGTATTTGATTGATTGTAATATCTTTAAAGTTGTGAATCCAGACTGCAGTTCTTGAAACACAGATTTTTATCTTTAATTTCTGCAGCTGATGGGACAGTTGACAGTGGCCAGGGGTCATCTGTTTATACTGAATCAGGTGTGAGCAGTCAACAGACTGTGTCCTATGGTTCCCAGCATGACCAGTCAATCTCAACAGCTGCAGTCCAGGGATACACAGCTTCAGTTGGCCAAGTGCAGTCGCAGCAGCATGGAGGATATCAGCCCCCTGCAGCGGTAAGCCAGAACTTACAGTGTTGCAAACACGTGGATTTATTTGATTTTTGTATTTCTCTTGAAAGGTGAAAGTCTGCCAGGCAATCTTCTGAGTGTGTTTTGTTTTGCATGTGGTACAGGTCCTGCATGGGAGTAGTTAAGGGGCTTTTTTTGCTGGGTGACTGAGTCTGGGGGTTGGGGAAGTGCAAGGGCATATTTGTCTTTAGAGCTTTTATTTAATCTTGAGTATGCTTAAGCAGAATTTTGGGTTAGGGTTTTTATGGATGGAAGTAGCATCCTCAGAACAGGACTATTTCATGAAATTAAGCATTTAGTCTCAGTTGGGAAGGTGATGTCTGTATCGATATGAAGTTACCAGGGATCAAGCTGTTGATTTGATTTGAAGGGATTAGAATAATTTGAGCTGCTGTATAAGTGTGAAATTGCTGTGTGTGTTCTGTAAGGCTTTGATTACAGATTCTGCAGGTAAGATTTTTTTTTTTAACTGTTATAGAATGCTGCATGTGAGAATTCCAGACTGAAAAGACCCCACACCCTTGTCCCCAGTTTCTAGCTTGTGTTGATTTGCTCATCAGTTGCCATGCGTATTCCTTTTCCCTGGAAAGTCTGCACTGGGCACAAATACTTTTCCTATTATGTTCATTTGTGTTGCCCTTTTATTTTGGTATGGTTTTTTTTCCTTGGTGTGTTTTTAGATCTGAGTATGAGAGTACGCAGAAATCTATCCTAACTCTGGAGTAGAACTTCTGCTACTGTTATATTGTCTTCAGTGGTTCCCTTGTCACTTGTTTTTTGTTGGTTGTTTTATTTTTTTTTTAACAAATAAAAATCTAAGCCTGAGGCAGAGACATTATGGTATAATGTAGTAATACCGTAAGGGAGATGATGTGACACTTAAGACAGAGAGTCTCTTCATGGTTTTTTGGTACCTGTGGGTGTAGGTTTTATTGCAGAGTTGCTGATGTTACTAGCTTTTTTGGAAAACATGCAGGTTTCACTCACCAGCACATCTCCTCCATCTTTTTCAAAGGCACAAAACTGCTAGTCTTTTGTCAAATGAGGTTTTAATCCCTCTAAATAAGATCTTTTTCTGGGTAAGCCATATTTTGATGTATAGGGATATCTTGGACTGGAAGCCATTTCACTGTTGTGGGATGGCTAGCTTCCAGGTGGAAAGACCATAATCTTTGGAGAGGAGATGGGAGAACAAGCACATGACAAGCTGCTTAAGTCACTGCTAAAATGTGGTCATGCTCTCTGATAACAACAACAGTGCCAGGAGGTTGACAGATTGGGGTAGAACACTACAGGAACTACAAATGGTTTGTTGGGAAGATAGGATGACAACTCAAAATGACATTGACAATGGGAGAAATGGCCTTAAAAAGAAATCAGATGCCTTTCAATTAGGACAAGAACAAGGTTCATGCTTAAACAGGAGTAATGAGCTACACAAGTACAGGGTGAGCAACAACTGACTAGGCAGCAATTCTGCCAAAAAATAAAAAGAGGGGTCAGAGGTTACACTGGACATGGTCAAAAACATCATGCTGTTGTGAAAAAGGCAAACATCATGTTATGTGAAGTAGTTCTTCTGCTCTTGGCCATTGGTAAGTCTATCCTGGACACCCTGCTTTAGCGAATTTGAGGGTGAATTGGGAGAGAACTCACAGGAGAGTAACAAAAAAAAAACCAAACCAAACCCCAAAACCTCACCAAAAATACAGAAAACATGGTTTATGAGGGAGGCCTGAAAGAGTTAAGCTAGGCCTGTGAAAGATGAGCTTGAGAGAGAAAGCTGTAAAGGCTGCTGTGAAATAGGAAGAGGCTAATCAGATCACAACAGTGTTGTCAGATAGAATAAGGAATAATAACCCTCAATTGCATCATGGAATTATTGTTTGTGAAACATTATTATTTTTATTTTTCTTCTAACTAAGAAGGACAGTTCAGTACTGCAGTCTCCATAATTGGAGATATTTCTGAACAGGTTAAAATTAGAGTCAGGAATAACATATAGTCCTACCTTGGAACAGGTGAACGTTATGGGTAAAGTATTTATTTAACCCTTTAAGTTCTTTTATGCCTCTCCCAAATTTTGGAGCAGTCTAGCAAGACTTCTCACATCAGAATTCTTTACAATCAAATCTCCACTGAATATCTTGAGATTTTTTTTTTCCCCTGGAGGTCTGAATTTAATTTCAGTTATGTTAAGAAATTGTGGATTCTATCCATGAAAGGCATCTATCATTAGAGAAAGAAAACTTGCAGCTGAAGGCTGCCTCTTTTTATTCACTTAAAATACAATAAAACACACCACACCAAAAAAGCAATAATGATTTTTAAAAAATCCCCCAAGCCAACCAAACAAAAACCAACCCACCCAAAGCCCCTACTCATGATTCTTCCAGTTGGGTTGGATTTTGACCTGTGACCTTCTGGATTGTCGCAAGATTACGAAATCCTGATGCTTTCATTGGCCGAGCGTTTGGAAAATGCTTGTCTAAGACTAATTTTACTGAATTTTCCACACATTAAATAACTTTTTTTTTTCCCCTCCATGAATCATATTGTAGCATATATAGTGTTTAAATTTTTATGCTAATGTTTTAGTTAATCAAGAGCCAGGTACATACAGTTAGTCCACTTAACTCAGGCAGGGATGTGCCCAAGCAGAGACACTTGTGAGCTGTAGTGTATAAACACACATCCACTCACTAAACTCAGAACAAATGTTTGAAAGCTCATCAGTAGCTGTTCAGTTTTCTCTGTTTGTCAGACTACCAGATGCTGTGAGTACGCACAGCGTGGGCTGCATTGGTGGCCCAGAGAAAAAAATACTCTCTCCTGTCTGCTCTGCCTTCCACAAGCTTCTGGTCAGGGGAGCAGGGAACTTCCCGCACTGGTCGATCACCGAAGGCACATTTCGTTCCTCAGAGGTGCACACAGCCTGTTCCCAGGGTGTCTTGGCATTCATTCAGCATTTCCCATATCATTTTGCACATGTAGTAGTCAATATCAGGCCTATCATTGCGTGTCTGCGTTTCTTTTCTACCTCATTGTAGTTTTTACTGGTTTTGTTATTTATTTATTTATTTTTTTTTTAAGTATTCAATTCTTAACTTTTGTTTTCCTCCTTTAGCCTCAACGTGGTCGTAGCATGTCAGTTTGTGTCCCCCACCTTCCTGCTCTTCCCTCTATGTCCTGCATCCCTCTCAGTGCTCCTTGCACCCCACCACCAGCGCTGTCTGCACCTCTTTCTCCTTTCTACCTTCGGACTGTCCCTGAAGAAACCTTTGCAGAAAAGCTTTCTAAAGCCCTGGAAAGTGTCCTGCCCATGCACTCTGCCTCTCCACGCAAGCATCGACGCTCCAGCCTGCCCTCCCTCTCTGTCAGTCCTGTATGTGTTACCATTTGCCTCCTGGCCACAGTAAGATAAGTTATCATTAAATACATCCTGAGCTTTGGGCATTTTTAAAATGATAAAAATGAAGAGTTGATATGTAATTTCTTATACTGTGCTGCTGGAACATTGACATTTTTTGGGAAGCAGAATGCTTAAACATTATAAAACAGTGGCTGACCTTTTTTCTTTTTTAATATATTTTATTTTAGGATAGTATAAATCTGAATTACCCAGTTGTACCACAGAAGGTAAAGGGAAAGACTAGTTCTTATTCCCTTCAGCCAGAAGACCAGCTTTTTATTTTCCAAATTCTAAGCAAGCATTGAATGTTAATTAAGCCCTGCACAAACAATCAGCCTTTAAAGTTTGGTTGCTGTGCCTGGTTATTCTAAAAGCTTTGGTTAACTGTGCTAGTGATACTAGAAATTCAAAGTATGAATACTTTTATGGATTTTTCTGCAAGTTGTAATTGGAAAAGCAACTTCAGCTGCTTCTTGATGGGAAGAAGCCTCAGTTCCATGTTCCTCCGAAAGTCAGATGTAAGATATCTCACAAGACAGTCACTTTGCAGTTTTGGGCTTCAATTTACACAAAGTAAACTTAGAGAATAATTTCTCTGTAAATGAAGCGAGTGGAACCAATTTTCAGAACGCAGGAAGAGTTCTTCATCCTGTAGGAGCTTCTTGTTAGTCTTGGTCGATATGGAAATTTGCTGCTGCTTTTCTGGAAAAAAAAAAAAAGTGCTGGGGAGAAAGAACAATGTGGAAACAGCAAGTTGAAAAAGTTGTAAATGCCATCTGTCTTAAAGATGGCATGTTTGCTACTGACTCTTCAAATGTCTTTAATTTTTTTTCCCCTTTAGGGTACCTAGTACATTGTCTCTCAGCATACCGCAGGCAGACATAAGGAAAAAAAGGAGAATTAGTAAATTGTTTGATATTTTTACATAGACTTCTCTTTAGTGAAATTTTCCCTACAAATCTCACTTAAGATGAGCCTCATCTGAAGTAGTACAGCAAATGGAGTGGACTTGCCTGAGGACTCTGCTGTTACTGAACCTGTGAATGTTTTATCGTCCAGGCAAGAGTCCACTTTGTTTCAGTGAGTGCTAATTTTCTGTGCGAAAAGGTATGATCAAAAGAGATGACCAAATTTGGAAGAATCCCAAAGGCTCTGCAGTTTTATAATTTTTTTTTTTTTTTCCCCAGCTATGGGCTGGAATGGTTCAGTTTTGCCTCATAAAAAGTTTGTCTTTAGCTCTCTGGATAGCATACAGGACACTAGCACTGAGTTTTTAACGTTGGTTAATAATAATATTTAATGTCATTTTTATCTTCTAAGTGCAAACTAGAGGCTCTGCATTGTTGCTGCTATAAAGTTCTGAATTTCATATTCCCCATGTGGCAGTAACCTCAGGGCTTTGATTGGATTTCAAGCACTGGTCACAATAGATAGCCCGTGATAATAAATCTCATTCCATTGTCAGGAGCAAAACTGGTTTCTTTTTGTGGATGATTGGAACTGAACTGGAAAAGCAGCTCTAACACAAGCAAACGTTTCCATTTGTAGCTGTGCCTGCCATGGATGTATTTAATGGATATTTATGACTTACCTAAATTTCCTGAGTATTGTATGTTTTTGACCATGAATTGAGTAGTCATTCTATAAAGTTACTTCACCGAACTGCCTAGTGAACTGTGCATGTTGATGTGCTTTCACTTTTAATGTATGAATTACTTGTCTTGTTCATGTCAATACAGCCTCAGCATCCACGTGGGGGAACACCAACGTTCCCAGATTCACAGATATTTTTCCCAACCGTTCATGAACGGCCGGTGTCTTTCTCACCACCACCCGTCTGCCCGCCGAAGGTGGCAGTCGCTCAGCGGCGCAAGAGCACTTCATTTTTGGAAGCCCAAACTTGCCACTTCCAGCCATTGCTGAAGACTGGCCAGAGTTTAGTTCCACCTGGTGGTAGTCCCACCAATTGGACACCAGAGGCATTCGTTATGCTGGGCACAGCAGCTCAGAGAGTCGCTGGAGAGCCTCTGCATGTGCAAGTTAATCCCGTGTTTGAGCCAGCTCCTGTACACAGTGACTATAGATCTGGACCAACACCTCCAGAGGATGCTCACTACAGAATGCATCCAGAAGCTGTATATTTGGTGGGCATGCACTATCCATCACAGGTATCGGAGCAGTATGATCAAGTAGCTTATAACTCTCGTGGGACTGAACAACATTTGAAGCAGGTCTCTGAGTCAAACTATGGGCAAGGTGGTCCTCCACAAAGCTCTGTGTTCGACTTTCAATTGGGGCAAACATACCTGGCAAGACATGTTCAGAACCTGAGGCTGGATTCTGGGATGGGTCCCCTTTCTCCATTATCCAGTGTTTCTGCTCCTCTGAGTGCAGACCCTGCTCAAATGACGTTCCACCAGGTATTTGTTCCACACTCTGCCCCGGCTGTGCTCTCTCACAGTGGTGATGGCAGGGCGAGCTGTGTCTTTGAGTTCCATGTGCACACACCGACTTCTGCTCCAGCAGAAGGGGCAGGTTTACCCCAGCGGGTCTACAGAAGTCGCCGGGGCTCTATGGAGACCAGTCAAGAGGAATCCACTCAAGGCACAGGGTCGCATGGTCGGCTTCAGCCTGTGACAGAGGAGCAGTGTAACTATCTTGGCCCTGAGTTAGCAGGTCCCAGAGGGGGCTCTGCCAGGCGGAGCTGGCCGGAAGGAAGCCCAGAATACTCCAGTGATTCCTCACAACTGAATTCCTCTGACACTGGTGATTTCCAGTCTCCTCCCCCTACAGGGTGGTCATCTTCTGCTTTTGGTTCAGACTTCTCATTGCCCATTGTTCAGCTGCCTCAGAAGGTGTTGCAAGAGTCGCAGCTCTTCATCTGCTTCCCCCAGGGAGCCTCGACTCAGCAGGCCTTGTCCACCTCGCTTTCATCAGGACCACCTGCACTCTATCCTCAGGTTACAGGAGCAAACCCTTTCTAGAATTTCTCTACATTTTATAAGTCATACCTTGTGCTTAAAAGGGAGCCTCGCTCTTAGACTTGCTCGGTGTGGTTTGAAGTGTTTGCATTCATGGAGGTGTCTCTCCACCAAGTCAGTAGGATACTAGGAGCTCTTTAATTACCAGGTTGCAATGAAATAATGAGACAGCAGCAACCACTCGGGTCTGTGTTCAGCTTCAGCTGAAATACTTGGTAGGGCTTTTGTGTTAAGGGTAACAAATGGTCAGTGTTCCTCCTGGGACGAGTTGTTCTTTTGGCAAGAGAGAGAGCTGGAGTACCAAATTGGCTTTTAAACAATGGGTTGAATGAAATATATCTTCTCCACAGTTGGAATCAGCAGTGATAGTAAAACTTGTTTTGTATTTTTGTTCCTGCTCCTTAGCTGTTTAATGAGAATGTGTTATGAGAAGTTGAACTTTGGTATTAATAATGTTTCATTAGACAACAACAAGGTGAATTTGGTGACTGTCCAAAATGCAAGAGCTCTTTCTAAGCTTGGGGGAAGAAAGTGGAAGAGAGGAATGGAAGGAGCTATGTTGTGTATACGTACACAGACTTGGAAATGTACTCGCAGGATCATTAAAGGAACTAAACAAGCTGAATTAGTAAATTAGTGGCACAAACAACTGTTGCCAACGGGTGTTGCTTCCTTGTAAGCCCAGAGTATGGTGTCCTTTTAAAAAAGCAGAATTTGAGGCTTGAAGCAGAGTTTGGAGGTCCATGATTTATCAGCATATGTGGTATTTGCACTTGCAGTAGTCAGTAATGCACTTGTACACTGTGACTCTGAGGGGTATGTGTATGTACATTGTGTCTGCCCTTGTCTGAAACGTTTCATGAGATGATTTTTTGTGTAAAGAGAGGATTTACTTTACGTAGACTTCTCTCTTACTCCTTCTGTTCTTGGAATTAGGGGTGCTCTGACATTTTAGTTATTGGAGAATTAGCAACTTTGGGATTTGTGTGAAGGAACTGGAGAAGAATCTTTTTACTTTCTGTGGTGAGATCAAGAACTAAGTATTTGAGGCTTTCTGTATGGGGTAATAAAGGTGTTTTATTAAAGCTGACCCAACTTTAATCACTAGTCTAACAGACAGTAATTTCCATGCTGTAGGAGAACTTGTGGAGTGAAGCTTCTGTGCAAGAAGTTTGGAAATTACTTGAGGATTGTTTTTGCATAAACCACCTTTGTTACACTTCAGGAGGTGACTTCTGATGGATGCAAAATATAGCTGGAAAACGCAATGAGGGATCACGATTGTGTTACAGAATAGAAATTCTGGGATCTTTTCTCTAATTCATTAAAAGAACAGAATGTGAAGCACAAACTGAGTCAGTGTGAACAGATGTTACAGCAGTGGGATACAGCACGTTTAGAACCTAGACAATAAAGGCTTTAAGCTTCTAAAACAGCAAAGAAAAATGGTTATTTTCATTGGCATTCTGCTTTCCCCAGAGTTTCTATAGTTAAAAACAAGTATGTAACTTTAATAAACCTGTTCCTATAAACTTCTACAAGCTGAATGATCACAGCATTAAGGAATTTTAGTAGATATTTCTGATATGATACATATGTACCAGATATGTTTCTTACAAAGGCACTTCACCAAAGTGGTGTGTGCTCAGGGAACTCATCTGGATGTCTTTGTTGTCTCCCAGGGTCTGATAAGGAAATATAATGGTCAGAAAAATAATAATGAAGATCCTGGGATCTGATAAAAAAAAAAAAAAGTCAGCCATGAAATGAATAATGAAAATCCATTCCATTTTCCTCTACATCTTCCATATTCATTTGTATGCCACTCATCTGTTTCTTTTTCATTGCTTATTCATTCAAAAATTCTGTCTTAGCTAGAATGTGGACCCCCAGATTCTTCAATATCCAGTTCTTGGTAGCCTTTGAATGGTAGTGAGTCTGGAAATGATTTCTCCCTTGTATTTTGACATGCCTCTCAAAGGGACCTCGTGACATGTACCTGTACCGAGTACTTTGTTACTGGTCTAGAATTTTGTAGATCTTTGATCTTTAATTTTTTTTTTTAGCAGATAGTTTTATTTCCTTCTAGCCTCCTTCTGTCTCCCCACCTAACTGTGTTTAGAACGTATGTAAATATAAAACTCAATGCCTTTATTTCCAGTTACCATACCAAGGCATCCTGCTCTTAAAGCATCGTCAGTGGAAGAAGCAGCTGGTAGGCTGTTCTGTCTCACGTTGAGGTGCATGCGAGTTGCAAAGACTTTGTGTGTTGGTTGCTTTGAAAGACTTAAAATGGAATCTGCTTTTCCAGATTGTTCTACTTTGTTCTGGTTGTTGTAGTGGAATTTGGCCAAAAGGACTGGTTGGCCAAAAGGACAGCTAGAAACCTATTCCAACCAGATCATTCCAGGCAGAAATGATTTTAACTGCCTGCTGCAGAAGCTATAGGGGTTTTTAAGCTGATTCTGTTTTTTTTCCCCTCCTCCAGACACAGGTGCAAGGCCAGTCAGCCTCAAGCAGTGCATCGGTGCCATCCCAGCCTGCCCAGCATACTCAACAGGTACATTCACGCTTCCTAAACTCAGCACTATAAAATACTTTCAGAATAGGATTTTGATGACTCTTTAAGAGCAATTGACTACCTATGTTCACCCTTCAACCCATAGTTTTGGACAAAAGCAAAGGAAATCCTCTGGTTCTCACCCAGTCTAATGTGCTATGAGATTAACTTCATTGACTTCCTGGAATCTCTTTTTAGAGTCGCGTTAATGTTTGTTTTCACATGTCTGTCTTCCCCAACTCCCACCTGAGCTTGCAGTGGAGGTTCCATTTAAGAGGAAGCACGTCAGGATTTGCAAGTTAGACTGTCTAGACAGGCAGACTTCATTCTCATGGTTTCTTCTAACTGGAAATGCTGTCTTCTGCAACATCCTCTTCTCTTAACTGCCTTTTCTTCCTTTTATAGAATCTTCATTCTTGTTTTCACAGGTGAAATAATTCTGTTGCAAGATTTGGTGCTGATAATGGAGTTGTATTAGTACTGCTAATAAGTAATTGCTAAAGCTTAATTGACTCAGCATGTTCAGAAGAACCACTGATGTCACTGATGAGGGAGTAAAAAGTAGAATTTAAGTAGGATATGCTTTAAAAAACTTCAGTGGGTGGGAAAAACAGCTTCTGCCTCTTTTCCCTACTACAGAATGCACAGCAGCCAGCCTCTTCCCAACAGCCTGGACAATACCAGCTGCAGCAGCAGCCATCAGTTTCTGCTGGCGCCACTCCCACACAAACTGTCTCTCAAACTCAGACTTCACAGATTATGCCAATGCCTCAGGCAGCAGCTGGGACACAGGTAAACAAAAATTCTTTCTAGCAGATTTTTATCTTTTTCCTTCTTCTTCACAGCTGGCAAATTGAACATGCTGCTATCTTCACTTTTGTCACCTTTTCTAATGGTTCCAAAACATTCATCCAGATAATAGTATTCTTAATGTGCTACCACTGTCAGTTTTTTTGGAAAAACGTGTCGGAAACATTTTCACATGTGGCAGTCGTGAGTAATTTGAGGGATGGCTAGCACTTCCATGCACAAAGATCTTTAAAGTGTCAAAAACATCATGAAGCATATTGATGAATGGTATATGATGAATGGATTTTCAGGAACTTGTCATTTCTCTGCTTCCCATACAATGTCTATCTTCTGCACCGTTTGTGTGTAAAACATGTTCACTTGTTTAGGTAGTGGACCATAAGGACTGTCTTCTCTACTCTGTCATCTTTCTTATTCAGCTCTTCTCCTTTACTCCCTGGTCAAGAAGCTTGTTACTGAGTATTACTTCATTTTTGCTCATATCTCTGTCTTGAACATGTGAGCCTTGATTATTTTTTTGTTTGTTTGTTTTTAAAATCGTTGTTTTGTTGCTTGTTCATCTAAACTGCCTTTCCAGTTGCATCGTTTGCTGGCTTTAATTGACATATCCCCTGCCATTCTCAATGCTGGCACAGTGGCTTTTCATTCTCCATTGCTTTAGTCCCCATACCCAAAGCTGACAGATTTGTTGCAAGATTTGCACTTCTTTCCTGTAACAAGACAGGCTTGGCTCTGGGGACAGAGTTGAGGGGAATTTAAGTCTGTTTATGCACAAGTCGATGCTTCAGGGTATTTGAGTGTTGCTCTTTCACCCTCTGTGGGTGTCTGTTTCAAGAGCCTGTTGAGTTCTTCAGGGGAAGTGTTGTGGAGTGAGGACCTTTTGGAACTCCAGCCAACTTCCCAGCCACTCTGCCAACTGTGCTCCCCACCCACTTTAACAGAGTGCTGTAACTTGAATAATTCTTTCTTTGACTAATGCGTAAAAAAATCTGCTTTCTGCAACCCTGCTTTAAAAAAAAAAAATCTATCTCTATTTTCTTTACCTCCCCAGCTTCCTGTTTCCCAACCAGTGTCGATCATCCAAGGCGAGCCTCAATTACCTGTGGCAGCACCTTCCCTCCCTCAGCCTTCAGTTGCCCCATCAGTCCCTGTTGGCTCTCATTTTCTCCCCATGGGACAACCCTTGCCAACTTCCATGGTTCCTCAGTTTTCAGTCTCTCAGTTGCCCGTAGCAGCTCCCCATGTGTCAGTGGCTCAGCCAGGTTTCCAGTCACTGCCCATTTCAATGGCAGCTGGCATGAATCAGCCATTGCTCACACTGGCAACGTCTGCTGCTGCAACCGCTGTCCCAGTAGGATCAACTGTTGTCCCTAGCCAGCTTCCCACGTTGATGCAGCCTGTGGCTCAGTTGCCCAGCCAGGGTCTCCCACAGCTCCTGCAGCCAGCTGTCCAGTCCGTGGGATTGCCAGTCAGCATTGGACAAGCTGCTGAAGCTTCACTTCCTGCTGGAGATGCTCTTTATCAGGTATTGTTGCAAGCCAGCAGAGCTCTTCTCCACATCTTCTGTTCCTGTAAGCTACCAGATCTGAACTGCATGCCCTGGCCAACTCACTTCTCATAAGAGAGCCACTAAGTCACAAAGATTAATTCTGTTGTCTGCTAAAGGAATATTTCAAGGAGGGGTTGGGGAGGGAAGTCCTTGGACACACTGGTGTTTTGAGTTTTTCATATTTGGCAATGGAATTTTGTCTGAAATGACAGAATCATAGTGCAGGACTTGGGTCAACCACTATGTGAAAGAGGACAGCTGGACATCCAAGATATTTGTCAACTTGTTTAAAAAAAAAAAGAAAGTTATTTTTAAAAATGGAGGATGTGTGTTGGAAAGAAAATCAATGGCAGTGTATTCAGCAATGTCAGTATTTCACTCCAAGTCTGGGAAGAGAGGGGTGGAGGGACACACACACGGATTTTCTAGAAATAAGTCAGACAACATGGATCTTGAACATGACATAAGTACCTCATGCTAGTCATGAAATGCTAGTTGGGCACAGACTGCTTCAGCCACTTTGTGTGATCACTGTAAAAGTGGCCATCTGAATAGTGACAAAAAAAGTGACTCAGCGTACGATTGTTTTTCTACACCAAAAATTGTATATATGTCGAAGTGCCTGGGATTAGATGATCTCCTGAGGTCCCTTCCCACCCCCACCATTCTGTGATTCTGTGAGTGCTGTAGAACAGAAACTGTGTGTACAAATGTTCATTCTTGGGTCACCTCATCGTCAGAGGACAGGAAGAACACAAGAGTGTTTTTTATGTTAGTCTCAAGAATCAACAGCAGTTGTGAAACATGGTCTGAGCAGTAGTTGTTCAGCATGAAAATTCTTCCAACTCATTTCAAGTCTCAAACCTTACTAATAATATTAAGCCACATAGGCAACTGCGAGAGTTGGGCAATGAAGATTGTTTTGCCCAAGGCTTGGAGCTTTGAGTGGGAATTTGCTTGTTCAAGCATGGTGAGTTGGGAGGTGAGCTTTGGCTATGTGACCAGTTTCCTCTGCTTCTCTGAGAAGATAGTCTTTGGGAGTGCGTGAGCAAGTAGAGAAGGTTGGAAGATGTCCCTGAGACTGATGTTTTGGGTTTTCTTTTTCTTTTCACTCTCTTGATTCCTATTGAGCTCTGCCATTCACAACTTGACTCCCTCGTTTCTATTACAGGGCTTCCCATCTCGGATGCCATCTCAATACCCAGGCGACTCGAATGTTGCACCTTCCTCTGCTGTGGCCTCTGTCAGCATTCCTTCTGCTGTACTGTCCCCTCCCTTACCTGCAGATGCAATGCCTCAGCCAGGCTATCTTGCTCCTGTTGTGCAGCCGTATGCGGAGCAGAACGTTTTAGTTCCTCTGGGCAGCCTAGGAGGACAGGTTCAAGTGCCCCAGCCTACAGTGAGTTTAGCACAACAGGCCTCATCTGCCTCCTCGCAGCAGGCAGTTTTGGAGGTAAATATGTTGAATATAACGTAACCATACATTTAAAATGTTTGAATTATGCAACTGTGTGTGTGTGTGTGTGTGTAGGGAGCTAATCCCTTCCATGCTTCTCTTCAGTTGGAAATTAATATTTCGAATGACCTTTTTCTTACAGCAGAATGTCATGCCAATGTGGGGACCTTGTTGCCACTGGCTGTTCTGTTGGGAAGTGAGTGTGCATCCTGCAGGCAAAAAACCTGTTAACACTTCACTTCTCGCTAGTGCTGTAGATCATTTTTTGCCATATCAAAGACAAAGCTGCAACCGATAGCCTTTGAGAATCTGTCTTTTAATGCCTATTCCCTGCAGCATTGTTCTTGCTAGGGAGAATTTGAATCATCTTTGTGTTCTGCATTGGCTTGCCTTTTGCACATTCTGTTAGTAAGACTCTGGCTGCATGGCAAACTGTAGTGACACGTAGCAGTAGAAAGGATGGCTGGTTTCCTTCTCCCCAGATGATGATTTGCTTCACTGCAGTTTGCTCTGGAATCATTGGTAAATTAGAGCTGTCTAGATGCCAGCTGTTGGAAGTTCTAAAAAGGTAGTGCTTTTAGCTTGACAGCTATTTTGGGAAGAAACAGTAAAGATTACTGGGTTACTTGAACAGGAATGATATTCTTTGGGGGATTCTTGATGTAGGTTTCTATCCGTAGGGTACTCAAGGAGTCTCACAGACTGCTCCTTCAGAGACTCTTCCAGCAACACAGCCTGCTCAGTCTACCCCTTTGGCTTCCTCTATGGATAGGTAAGCATTGTTTTCTTTTCACCAAACTGAATTGCAATTTAATGTGTTATATTATTCTTCTTTGGGTGATCTTTAGTTATCTCTTTTTCACCAGGGATACATATTTTTTTTTCCACTGAGGTTGTTCTTGAGGATGTCAGGAAATAGACTTCCTAGAGGAAAAATAGGTTTATGGGAGTTGGAGTAAGTTTTGATTTACAGCAGGGTATGGAGGGAGTGAATAGGATTGTGTATAGTGATTTAACTTCTAATCCTGCATTTGTCACGTCAAATGCATCATAAGCAATATTTTTTTTTTGTCCATTTGGCACTTAAACAGAATTCAAACTCCAAATAGTTTGAAAACGTTTTCAGAAGATGAATTTGTACAACTCAGTTTGCAAGAGATAGGTAGCTAAATAATTACCATCAGAATTGCTGTTCAATCAACCCTAAGTGTTGACAGGACTCTTCTCCCTTACTCTGTGGTTAACAGACATCTGTTGCTGTCCAGAAGAGAATGCCATCTGGTAGGGTAGACTCTACTGGTGCACTTATGGAGTGTGTGGATACTATCATGTAAAGTTGGGTTTATTGTTTTTATTTTTTTTTAGTGCACATTCTGATGTTGCTTCAGGATTGAGTGATGGCAACGAGAATGTTCCAACTTCTAGTGGCAGGCATGAAGGGAGGACTACTAAACGTCATATGCGGAGGTCTGTCCGCAGTCGCTCTCGCCATGAGAAGACTGCTAGGCCAAAACTGAGAATTCTAAATGTGAGTATTTTTTCTATTTTACTGACAGTGTGGTAGTGATGATGCCTTTTTTTTTTTTTTTAACCTTAATTTAATTTTACTTTGAGGATTATGTGTCTTCTCTGGTCTTGTTTCCCCCCACCACCACCTCTGAGCACACAAGCTATCCAGTGTATTTCTTCTTCTACTCTAGTCAGCATTCCAAACCTCATCTATTAAGAGCTTTTTGGAGCATTAGATATGGCAAGATTGTCTTGCTTAGCCACCAGTGATTGCACAGACTATGCCAGAATATTTGATTTAGCCTTACTAGTAAAGCTAGGCCAGTCCCCTGACTTGTAAGCTAGGAAGGAACAAGGGAACATCAGGAGTTTGAGAAAAGTGTGGACAAGGTTTGAGAAATTGTCAGATCTTCAGAAAAAATGATGCTGTATGTGACACTATTTATTAAACTGGAAAGAGAGAATGTTTTGAGCAGTACTGTTGGTTTGTCTCTGTGAGCCTTAAAACCCAAATCTTAGATTCTCATGCTTTTAGTTTGAACTGTTGTTTTCTTTTAGGTTTCAAATAAAGGTGATCGGGTAGTGGAATGCCAGCTGGAGACACACAATCGGAAAATGGTTACTTTCAAATTTGATTTGGATGGTGACAACCCTGAGGAAATAGCTTCAATTATGGTAAGTTACAGTTTAGAGGTGAAGAATTTATTCCAGTCTCAATCACAGCAACAATAGAAGCACTTTTATTTTCTCATTTGTGTTTCAGAATTGCTCTTCCATGTAGCATGGTCTGTGCTCACCTTATTGATGTGCAAGCACAACTAGAGGCTCTAGGCACAGAGGGGTATACCAAATGAACAGTTACTATTGCACTCTGGATTCACATGAAAATCTGTGTCAGCTTTTAACCTTAGAATTGTGGGTTTTATCAAGTAAATCTGCTTTTGGTGTTTTGCAATCTAACTTTTGGAAAAACCGCAGGCAACTTTCTGAAAGCACCAGGTTAAGCAAATTCCGTTTGCTTTGCTAAGAGCAAACATTGCTAGACCTTTACAGCTTACACTGAAGCTTTGAGTTTTTTTGCTCTTGTTTGCAACTGGAAGATCCTGCCCTTAAAATAAGGGATGGGGATTGTTTTCTGAAAGTCAGCAATGACTGACACTGCTTTTGACTTTCTCAAGGGAAAAACCTCTCCATTCCATGTATAATGGTCAAGCATGGGAAAGAACTTTAAATGTGCTTAAATAAGAGTACTGTGTAGCCTGGAATAGCTTTTTAAAATTTAAACTCTTATTTCTGGGCTAGTAAAATCTGAATGAAACTGAGATTGTTTTAGTGTTACTGAAGCGAGGGGGAATGACAAAAAGCAGTATCTTTTTCCAGCTTCTCACAGTGTTCATCTTTTAGCTTAGAGTGGTGGCAGAATAATAGGTAGTGGATTCATACCTATCAAAAGGAACCAAATCAGTAACGTGGGAGAAATGATCTATTTGCCACTAATGGCTTTCCAAGAAAAGGAGTAAATTGGTTCTTGGCTATGTATGTTCTTGGCAGTGTAAACAAGTCAGTAATGTGAAGTCAAGTGCTAAGAAATATGGAGAAGAATACACAGGTGTCTTTGGCTTATAGCTAAAGTGATCTCATGGAGGAGTAAGAGTATGGTTGTTTTGAAAACAGAACCCCCAGAAAAGCTCAAACAAAACCCCAAATAATACAAAACAAACAAAAAAAACCCCTAAACAACAAAAAATAGAGATATTTGAGGATGATTAGAAGCAAAATAAGTGAACTGTACCTCCAGATTCAGTCATATGGTTGGAAGTGTGCAACCTAATTGAGACAACTGAATCTAGAACTCTGTGCTTGTTGAATGTTGAGGAAACTTTTGATTGTAAGACTTTCTAGTTTCCTTTTAATCAGGATACTGTTAGGCATACCCCATATGGATATCTATCATTGCTCAACTTAAAGCACTGAAGTTTCTTTAACTAGTAGGTATTCTGCATTGCAAAGGCTGATACAAGTATATCACCTTTGTCTTTCCTTTTTCTGAACCACCAACCCAAAACTTGATGTAAAAACAATGTCTCAGGCTTTACCTCTGAGGCACTTTGTCTTTCCCAGCAGAGACACTGTGACTGACAGCTTTACTTCTGTTTCCTATACTAACTGTATTTGAGAGTTTTACCATGCATGATTTTAGGAGACAGAATTTTCTTTAGGTTCAGACCAAACTGAGCATGTCTTTCTAAAAGCCAAGTATACTTGTTTAAGTTTGTTTCCTTCGACATAAGCAGCAAAATGTATTTTTATAAAGTAACACAACGTATGGGAACTAGATAGGCTGAACAATCTTCCTTTCCCATATAGGGAACATAATTAATACCTGCATTTACATACTACAACCAGACTTTGAGTTAGTGGTGTGCAACCTGCATAGAGTAGAAATTCTGTATGACATGGAAAGAGAGAAGAGAAGCACAGAGCACATCTTGCAATACAGATTTTTTTTTTTTAATGTTATAATTTCCTTTAAATGTGGTTCATAATGTCCATTATACTGGAACTGCAGTAAGATAAGGCTGCTAATTTTAAACTTCACTGTGCTAAGCGAAGATTGAGGTGACAGTTTGGAGAAGTGAGATTGAATGTTGTTCCACAGCAAAGAGTAAACCAGAGCAAATACCTCTGTGCTGGTGATAATTTTAGAAACAATTGTTTTTCTCTAAGGTGTCACCGTCTTTATCTTATGTATAAGAACAGTGAGGGGAGAACAAACAGTAACATCAAAAGTAAATTATGGTTATTCAGTGTATAGTTTTGAAAGAATTTGTGGAGAATTATTGTCTCTTTGTTCTCTTTACAGGTGCAGAATGAGTTTATTTTGGCAACTGAGAGAGACTCATTTGTAGAACAGGTACGAGAGATTATTGAGAAAGCAGATGAAATGCTAAGTGAGGACGTAAGTGTGGAGCCAGAAGGTGATCAGGGTTTGGAGAGTATGCGGACAAAAGATGATGGCTTCTTTCCAGGGTCGCAGGTATGTAAAGGACAGATTGCCTTGGCTATTTGTATTTTCCATTTTGGGTGGTGTGGTTTAGTGGTTAGAGCTAGCTAGAAATTGAAACTTTCTTTCATGAGAAATATGAAAGCTTAAAAATAAAAAGACAAACACAGAAAACTTCATATCAGAGCGAGAGCCTAAAATTAATATAGAAAGCTAAATGAAGTAGACCTTTTGCTTTTTGATGTGTTCTAATGCTTCTGAAGCTGCTGAATCTCCTAACAGTCCCCTAAGCAGACAATCTAAAACACTGAGGCTTCTTGGATCTGAGGTTATTGTGAGGCAGGACACTAAAACCCCCAGCCCTGTGCTGCTCACTGAACACTGAGAGCCTGGACTCAGACCCTCTACCCAGTGTGCTACTAAGAGATTGGATGGCCCAGTTAGAAAGCACAGGTTTTGAAACTGGTTGCTGGGAATAAGAAGAGATGACATTTCCTGAATATCTGCCTTATTTCCATCCAGAGCTACTTTGAGACATCCATTTATCTGCAGACTGTTTAAGGAAATCAGTTGGACTGCCTGTCAATAAAAGATTGTTTAGATGGATTTGTTCAATTGACAGTCACTAAGCTGAGTAGCTCCAAAAGCCCTGTAAGCACTCTAAAAGCTGACATTTATCTGGGCAGAATTCAACTAAGTTTGGTCATGGTGCTTGGGTCCAAGCTACTGCTTACCCTAAATGCCCACATTTCAGTAAGCTAGCATTTTAAGAACTATCTTGTGGGTTTCTGTTGCAGAATAGAACTTTAAATTTTATCTTACTTTACAGAAATTAGAGTTCAAACAGCCAGATCCTACATCTTCCATGCCACAAAGAATAGGTAAGTCTTTTGTGATTTATTTTTTTTTTCCAACAGTTACCTTTTTTCTGTTTCAGCAGATGGGTGCAGCCAAGTTTTTATTTTGTATGATGGAGTGCACATTCCATATTGCAGGTGATGTATTTAGTTACAACCACGTATCACTAAATATCTGAACTTCTTTCTGTTTAGGGGTTCCTCCTAGCTCCTTTACCCAGGTTGTCCATTCTGCAGGAAGACGGTTCATTGTTAGCCCTGTCCCTGAGAGTCGGTTAAAAGAACAGGGCTTCTTCACATCTCCTGTTCCTGGAGGAAACGAAACTCCGGATATAGGTAAGTTATCTAAAGTCTTAAAATTGGACAGCTAAGACACGTTCACCAAAACTGTGAAGTTAGTTAACTGACTGTTCCTAAACACCTCCTAAAGTACTTGGGGAAGTGAGGAACTGTCTGTGCTGGTAAGAAGTGACTGTAATTTGAGTGATACTGTGCAGGATTCTTAGGGGGAAAAAGAAATACTGCTGGGGCTGTCTGCAGGACTCTGAAACCTGTGAAATTCTGTGTTTTAATGTAAGCCTGGATTTTTTTTTTTAATTATGCTGCGAGGTAAATGTGATCTTAGTCTAGCCATAAAAAATAATACTGATTACAGAACTTTTCGAGGTGGACTGACATTTTTCTGTTTGTCCAGTTGCTGCGTCTCCGCTACATGGTCCTGGAATGAATCTCTCCCACTCAGCATCATCCCTGAGCTTGCAGCAAGCTTTCTCTGAGATGGGCCATGCTCAAATGACAGAAGGACCTAGTACAGCTCCTCCAGTGTTCAATCAAACAGTACCACCATTTCCACCTGCACTCTGTACCATGGCGGGCAGCGGTGCACCACCTGCCTCTGTGTCTGCTTCTTCAATATCTGTTCCCTCCAGCACAGGTGTTTCTCTTCCAGGATCTGTTACTTTGCCTTCAGAAAGTGCAGCTGTCGGAGTTGCACCAAGTGCAAGTGTGCCAAGCTCTATTTCTCCACCTCCAGCCTCACAATCTGGACAGCAATCGACTGGTGTCGCTTCCAGTGTGAGCGCCCCTGCTTCTTTCTCCTTACCTACCACATCCCAGCCTGCTCAACCAGTAACTGGAGACATTGCCTCTAGTATCAGCACGCCGTCTTCTTTGGCACTGCCATCTACCCAAGTTCCTGGTGTCACCGGTCTTGGTGTTGTTGCACCAGCTGTGACATCTCAGTCTACTCCTCAGATTGGAAGTAGTATGGCAGCACCACAGACATCTGTGACTCAGAATGTGGCTTTGCAGCTTCCTCAGCTTAGTAGCAGTGGCTCTGTCTCCAATCTGGCAGAAACAACAGTTGTAAGTGCTCCACAGTCGTTACCTGAGAGTGGGCAGTCTCTGGATAATTCACAGCTCTGCAGTGCAGCTGGCTTATCTCTTCCAATCTCTGCACCTTTATCATCTTCAGTAGCAACAAGCATATGTGGTTCAGTCACTCAACCAGTGATGCATCCCTTACTTGTCCCGTCAGGAATTACATCAACACCTGTCCTACCCCAAATTCCAGGTGCAACACCTATGTTGCCCCAGGTTCCTTTACCTGGTGTCTTACCACAACCAGTTACTAACTTGCCTGCAGTACAGCAAACTTTGATACACAGCCATCCTCAACCAGCTCCCTTACCCAATCAGCCTCATACTCACTGTCTGGAGGCTGATGCTGATGCTCAGTCTAAAGCTCCTGGTATTGATGATATAAAGACCCTGGAGGAAAAGCTACGGTCTCTCTTCAGTGAACATGGTAACGTGGGAACAGTACATCCATCAGTATCTCTGGAGACATCGTTGGTAATGGAAACTACAATTATTCCTGGAGTACCAACGACTGTTGTTGCACCAACTAAACCTCTGACATCCATTAGCACTTGTATACCTCCCAGCAGTTTGCCTCTTGGACCAACTGGCTTGCCAGTGCTGACACCAGTTGCCACTCCTGGGCAAGTGATGACCCCAGTCAGCTATATTTCAGCATCGAGCAGCATTGCAACAGCAGTGGTGAAACCAGGGACCTCTCCTTCAAAGCCCCCTCTGAGCAGGGTACCGGTAAGAAATGCAGCATTTGTGTGACTGTTCAAGTATTGTAGGAAACAACCTTCTTGAGCAGAATCTCTTTTATAAAGCAAAATATTTCTTCAGGTAGGGGTGTCTTCATTTAATAGAATATTGAAAGTTTTATGCTCTGGTTATTTTTGTGTGTCCCAAGAGATGTTTTAATTGTGTCCATATTAGGGGGAAAAAAACCCCACCAATTCTATATTATGCTTCTGAGAAAGCTCTAGTGTTGCTGTTAATTTTTCCTACTCATAAACTACAGAGAGTGAAGCAACTGTGGTTTGTTTTTTTGTTTGTTGTTGGGTTTTTTGGTTTGTTTGTTTTTTTCAAATAGAATTTGGAAGGCTTGCTTTAAATAGCTTTTTACCTTGCACGTGATCACTAGAATGAGATGGGGTGGTTGTATGTTTCTCAGTAGTAAGGATAGCTTAGCTTTGCTGTTTGGCTTTAGCCTGTTCCTTGAAGGCAAGGGTGAGCCTGACTGAAAGCTGCTTTGGTAGTTGTGGGTTTTTTGGGGGGGTTTTTTGTGTTTTTTAATTTTATTTTATTTTTGGTTTTGTTTTTTTAATAAGTCCTCTGCTGGTTATGTGGTGCCTGGATACTCTTCTCCTTCTAAAAGTTAGATTTATGAAAACAGAATTTTGAGAGGTTTAAAAAAAATACCTGGATATCTGAAAACACACTTTTTTGTTTATTTACTGAATCACACTCTTCAAACACTTTTTCATAGAGATAGTCATGACTTACAGTAACAACCTGACATGTGTTGTGGATGTTGTTACCTGCTCACTAATTGGAAGTATCGATATGTGAAATGAGACTATCTATTTTCATTTAAATAACTCCCTGTGTTGGGAGATGGTGCTTTTCAGTAGTTTAAATTATTGGTAGTCTTTTCCTTTTCAAAGTTAAATAGGAATAGATTGAAATGTTGAACAAACCAAAAACCTTATTCTCCCTTCTTTTGGTTTCTGTAACTGTTCTTTTCCACTCACCCATACTTTGTTGGTCTTCTTCAGCCAGCCTTGCTAATTTCAGTTTCAGAACCAGTTTCAGGCTATTTGAATTGAGCTAATGCTCCAAGCATCCCCATTCATTAGTAGTCTTTCCCTTTGTACTCTTTATATTCAAACAAAATAGAAAAATCTGTGCCATGGAGGAGCTGGAATATATACCAAGGAAGCTGGAAAGGAAATCTAGAAACAGATGCATTTGCTTATGGAGAAATTAAGTTGAGGATTAGAAAAGAAATATTTTAGAGTAATAAAAACTAGCGTTGGGGCAGTTAGAAACCTGCTAACTGCAAACCTGTAATGACCAAGGCTTGGGTGTGAATGTCATCAGTGTTTGGGGATTTTCATGTCAGTTGTGGGAAAAATACCTCCTCTCTGAAGTTTTCACTTATGAATTAGCTTGGCTTTTTTTCAAAGCTTAGTTTTAGTTTGCCTTTTTGTGTTTAAGCTTTAGTTTTGCTTTAGTTTTCTGGGGTTTACTAAACTGTATATGTGTGTATTTTATTTTTGTTTATGGCTAGCCTGTTAACCTAGACAGTTAAATGTGTTTTGACTTGTCTTATGAATTTATTTAAAGTATCTTTTGCCTCTTACTTATAAACTAAATTATTAACTTACCACAGCTTAATAACTCAACACGCCTCAGAGTAGGTAACATCCACGCGCGTGTTCCTAGTGCACAAAAAATCTGAGCTAATGCAACTTCACATAGTTCCTACTGAAACATTTTTTGGGAGGAGAGGTAATTATGGTTCAAATTGCAGGAATAACTGGCCAGTGGAGATACATTCCATTAGTTAAACTGTGGTAACATGACTGCAAGCTAGAACTGGTTCTGCTTGTTGAGGACTGGAGTAGATTTTGGGCTCATCACAGGTATCCAGCGGTGCTCCCTGTCGTACAAGGGAAACCAGCTGCCCAACACTATAACTCATCAGGCTATCATGTATTTCTCAAACTTCAAAGTCATGGTCAAGCCTCAAGATTCCAGCTGAGAATAAGAATTGCGAATTGTGTAATGGATCACTTAATTCCTAGAACTTCCCTAACAATGGAAATAACTAACTGGAATGTGCTATCTGACCTGGTGGGAAGGCTTTGATGCCTCCTTCTAACCTTTCCAGTCTCTAACCTCTTCCATATAACCTGGATGACTTCTCCCTACCCAGTTGCATGGCTTAGTCATCTTCTGTGGGTCATCAACACCCTTCAGGTTCAAAAATGTGATGGATCCAGAGATTGGTATGAGAGGTCTATAAATATGCTTCTCAACAAGTGGAGACATCCTCAGGCATGACAGTTCCTGTTCTCAAGTCATACTGCTTGGAACAGTTTGCCAGAAGCGCGTAGCTTGCTGTTGCCAGTGAGCAGTTAACATAGATCTGTTGTAAGGAGACTGAGTGCATTCTTGCACCCTTTTATAAATTAAGCTTCTTGGAAACTTAATTGCTTTGTGGAAGAATTATTGTAGCATTTCTTGCAAACTTGAAAATAATATCCCCAAGATACTTTGCTCCTGGACACAGCAGTTTGTTTAAACTGGAAATTGTGGCCACTCAAAAGATAATCTGGATTAAAAAAATAAAAGCAAACAACTTCCTTTAAGTTTGTTGTAAAAATCCCTAAAGACTCTATGCTAACTCTCCAGGAAGGAAGTCTCTGTAGAAAAAAAATAAATGTTGAGACTTGTGTTGTATGACATGGCTGGCTGTAGCTTGGTATCTGATCCTTCTGTTGTTCCATGTCTGATGGACTCGCGTTTCCTCTTCGTTATCCATAGGTGCTACCAGTAGGTTCTGAACTTCCGGCTGGCACTCCATCCAGTGAGCCGCTGCCACCTTTTCCAGGACCTTCACTAACTCAGGTGCTACACAACTTGGCAGATTGTATCTGCTGCTTTTCCTGTCGAAGAGCATGTTTCAATTAAACTCTCCGCTGCATGTTATTAATGTCTTTGTTTTTCTTTTCTTTTGACCGAGTAACCCCTTTTGTGTCACTGTAGCAGAGTGGCTTCAGCACTGGATATGTCACTTGCCCTTTGGGATGCTGTAGCCAGTGTGTGAAGCACAAGAACTATTAATTAGGTTTTGGGGTATTTTTAGAATGTTAACTTGAACTTTAGAGTTTGGTTGTTGTTTTTATTTAAAAAAAAAATAAAATTAAAAAAAGTAACACAGGTGAGTGTGTGCATAAAACTTGAACCTGTTTTCTTCTTGAAAAGGGTATAGTAGCAAAACAGTAGCTCTTCAGGGAAGCTGTATATAGTGCAATTAAACTAATGAAGATGCAAAATTGCCGGCATTGTGAATTCCTGGGTTTTGTTGGGGTTTTTTTTGTCCTCTCTATTTATTACTACACTCTGACTTCACCTGGGCTTTCAGATTTACCAAAGGTCTTTGAAGCTCCTGATCATAAGCATGAGTTGAAACATACCACTGGTTTCCCGAGCTCAGATCCTGCCTTGTATGGGTTAGTTAGCTTAGATATCTTGTGTGTAAATGGGACAGGAATACAGCTCAACACCACAAAGATTAAATCTGCCTTTTTTTAAACAAAATTTTGTTTAAAAAAATAAGGTCACACACGTGTTCCCCCCGTAACTGAAAGAACTGTATTAAGACCAAACCGTTTTATGAATCTTCTAAATGCTGTGTAATGAGTTGTAACATGGGAACACATCACTTCAATATGCAAAGAAAAGCTGAAAAAAAAAATAACTGAGCAACACGCGTGAGATCATGAGATAGAATTGAGCTACTTCGGACATAAATTTATCAATAAACAAAAGATGGTTTTCTGTAGAACTATATTAAAGTCCACTTGGCAGAGAATTATCATCCCACTTTTATATTCAAACCCGTAAAGAAGATCTGATTCAAGTGAGTACCTAGTGGTGCCTCAGAGTAATTTTGTCTTAAATTTGGTGTTTCCTGTGTATAAGTGCTTCTTACAATATTAACCTCTTCAGCTGTGGCTTAAGTCCACAGTAAGTGGTCTTAGAATACATGTCCAAAAGCTATGCTGGAATTGAGTCTGGCCTTTTAGAGAAGAACATAGAATTTTTCACTTGTCTTCACTGTAATTTTAAATTAATTCCAGTAAAATAGCTACAGTGTGAAAATGTGTACATCACATTATTCTTGATCACTGGGAATTTAAAGCAGACCGAGCTAACGTTGACAAAGTTCTCTCCGTAACACTCTGGTAACATTCTCCCTCTCATCTCTTGCCATGGAGCTCTTGAATTCAAGTTTCACCTGTGGAAGAGAAATTAAAATAAACCTTAAAGGTCATTTTAGTTCTTTGCGAGCTGTTCCTTGTTAGGGATTTACCAAAGCTTGATGAGAACTTCTGTCTGAAGGGATGTAAGCTGACTGTCATGCGTTAGAAAACTGCAAATTTAAACTGTGCTAAGGCAGCTTTGGTTAATGAGCTGTCATGGCTCAAACTGTAAAACCTGAATTTCATGTATTAAGGTACTAATGTTCAAAGATACCATTGGAATAATATTTCCATTTCTGTCTTTCAACTGTGTGAACTGTGATATTACCTGGTTCTAAAGACGTGAGTAGAGTTGAGCAGCAGGGTGTGTCAGCTGCTTTCCTGGAGTTTTATGTTGTTTATGACATTAATAAGTTTATTAATAAGTCCCTTTTTAAGTTTCCCAGCTTTTTTCCTCCAGTGCTCTCAATACAGAAGCTCTGTCTTGATTCAGAAGCTTCTCTAATTAGGTCATTATTTTGTGATGTCTTAAGAATCTCTCTTAGACTCAGTTTGCGTAGAGTATGTCCTGGAGGTTAGAATGGAAACAGTCTAGTGAACCTAAGTTACAACGTGCTGAAAGGTGACATCTCATACTGTCCATTCCTGGTCTACCACCTTCTTGGTCTTTATCTGATGGAGCAAATGAAACTCGGTGACCTTAATCCAGGAGTCCTCGCAGATGCCTCTGTATCCAGAACTACTTCTTGGTCTTGATCTAATGGAGCAAATGCAAATTAATGACCTTAATCAAGGAGTCCTGGCAGGTGGCCTCTGTGTTCAGGACTACGTCTTGGTTGTCTCTTCTTTTGAATTAAAGCATATTTAAATCTTTTGTAAGCAGTGAGAATCAGTCCACTACTTGGAAAGTATTATGCAGCATGAAAAGGCAGAAACTTGTTTTCTTTATGTAAGAAAACTATGAAAGTTAAGGTATGGCTCTTGAAATCTGTCATGGGAAGGAGTGCTGCTGCAGTTGGTTTTATGCAGCTTCTTCCCTGAATGAGGGCAATATTCCTGCCCTGTGAGCAATCAGGAAATGGATATCTTCTGCCTCCAGAATGAGCAAGAAGCTGAATGACTTCTGTAGAGCTATCAGACAGTGGTGTTAGCAAGGAACACTTTTTTCTTTTTTCTAATGTGCCTTCTGGAGGCAGAAACTGGTTTATGACTTTCAGCCAGTTCTTTCTGAAGCATGAAGTGGAGATAACAACCATTTGGTGATAACTCTTACCATGAGCAAGGGTAGCAAATGGATCTGGAGGCAGCTGGTTAAAATCGGTCACGCTAGGTTTGTAGTGATTTTTATTGTCATTGCTTGGAACTGGATATATTAGTAGTATTTTCCCCAAAACTCA